ATTCCTTAATTCGTCCATCAATCCATTTTTGTATTGCTGGCGTGTTCGTGAGCTTCGAACGGCAGTTCTAAAGACAGCAAGACAGATGTTATGTAAACAAACAGAAGGACACTAGACATTTTTTTTTTTCTGAACGAAAACCATAGAAAAATGCAAATAAGCAAGGCACAATTGATTCTTGCAGAACTTTGTGATGTTATATCGAGACGCAATGAAAATTTTCTCGATTTGCTTGGAGATAATAGAAGTAAATGGTGGCGTGGCTAAAGACGAAGCTCAAATAACACCTGCTTTTTTATTTTTAGTTATTTCGTCGACCTAAGGAAGCTCACGTAAGAGACCAGAACTGCTATTTTATTTTTCTTTTGTTCGTCAGTCATACAAAATTAAAATTTCTCCTCAATAGTTTTAACTGCACTTTATTTAGAGTAACGATGTTTACTTTCCAGCATTGACTTATAGAGGTCCTCAGCCAATACTAAGGCTGCTCCATGAATAAGAAAGCAATGAAAAGTTCTATTACAGCTTAATGATGCAAAGCAATTTCCATCTAAAAAGGCAAACTGTGTAAATCAAAAAGTTTAATCAAACGCACTTGAATTATCTTTACGATGCAAGTCCAACTCTAATTATATGGCACTCTCACCAGAAACCAAGATCGCTTTTTCAAGAAAACAAAAACAAAGCAAAACTAAAGGTGAATAAGTGATGAACATAACTCCGGAAAACGTCAGCAAAAAGACTTGTTTAGAATCTAGGTTTCTGTCAGAAATTTCATTTAACTGTGCTCTTGTCCTGCTGTTGGGTCTCCACTGTCAGTTTGTACATTTTTGGCATATTTTTTTGTTGAACGGAAAAGGAGGATTACTTGGTCCGCTTTTTAGTTCTGAGACAACTTTAGAAGCTGATCTTAAACATCAACGATGAGCAACACCAACAAATACAACAGATCGGGAAACCATCATCCAGACAATGAAGACAACTCAACCCCTGAAACTTTTATCATCATAAACTGCGTTCTTAACGCTCCACTGATGCTCATATCCATTCTGGGCAACGCTTTGGTATT